ACACTTTTGACAGTGACATTTATATTGACAGATAAAAATAACGTCAAATCTACAGATTATAAATTACAAATGTCAAATCCACAGACTATAAATAGAGACGTTGGCAGTTGTCACAATACATCCCCTTGTCTAAATAATTACGAATACTTAGTCAATTCACAGTTTGGCTTGGCCTAATCCTAACGCTAATATGATAAGAGTATATACAATCTTAGACCATTTCCTAGGAGTAACAAATTCTTACTATAGACTAGAAAGAGCTATTTGTCCATCGACTTAATCTAGAAACTAAATATACTTACATAAATAAAACAATTCTTATTATGTGACAGTCCAATTGCGACACTCAAAATGAAGATCACTTACTTATTACAAAGAATATTAAAACAACGGGTATAAAATATAGGAACATAAAGACAACTTTAAATAAGTATATAATACTAGCATTATTTAAATCAATTCACACTTATCATCTGACTAGACAGGTAAAGTTGAAAAAACAATTCGTTACCTATGGTTGTTTTTACACTGACGCAATTTTGATGGAACATGACAAATTCGATGTTCGTTAAACTACTATTTAAAAAATTCTACACAAGACAGATACTTATATTTTTTATGAAAAAGCTATAGAACCAAAGACATTGGTCCGTTCGTTATTCTATTAAAACAATGACTTTAATTCTTGACTACAAACTTTATACTAACATAACATGTGCCTTAGTTATGATAAAAAACTAAGTTAGGCAAGACTTATTTGTATAATAAATAATGTAAGCTGTTTCAATTATACAAGCAAGCTTAGTTTGCGAAATAATTTTACATCTACTTATTTATACACTAAAATGAATATTGGAAAACTTATTTGTCAATGAGAGGAGACAAAAATTGCATGTTTGATGTTGCCACATTATTATTGTGCTTCATCTTGGACACTATTTAGATTTTTTTATTATCTGTCAGCTTTGTTTTTTTTTTTTATTATATTCAATGTACTGTCACATAGTAAAATGGCGCGAAAAGAGGTGTTTGTAAACCTATCAAAAAGGACCATCGTGAACATTTTTAAGTTTTTTATAGATTATATCGAAGAAATGAAACACAATAATTGAAACAGGCTTGTTTGTTATGGCACTCATTTAAGAAATTCAAAACAAGTATTTAATACCTTCATATTTTCAATTAAAGCCAAAGTATTATAACATAAAATAGCTAGGTACGCAATTATATTATTTTCAAGTCAATTTTGTTGAATATATTAGATACTTAACACGACGATATCACATTTTTTTATTTAAACAATAAATAATGCTGTTTTTAAACACTGCAGCAAAAATCTTGGAAATTATCTTTATTTATTAATAATAAAAGTTTAAATTCAACTACACGATAATAAAAGAAAACTGACTACGTGACTAACAACACTTCGATTATTTAAAGCTTAGATATCTTACTAATATTATAATGAATTTTACAAAAATCTACAACATCACAATAACTAGAACATTTATTATCTATATACCCGATTTTTTTTACTATTATACTATACAATTATCTATTATTTTGACTAATTCATTTGTTCGTATTATTATGAATCAACGATGTAGCAAAGGAGAACGGCAGATTTCGTACCGCTTTGCTAAAAAAAGATTTGTCTTTGTTTTGCCTTGGGCAATTGGGCAGCTATAGAATCCTCTAAATACGTTATGTTAGCATATTTAATAGATTTTTAGAACTTGGGAAGCCCTAGAAAATCTGATATTCAATAATGATAAGAAGCAATCAACAAAACGGCTACATATTAAATAAAAATAAACCGCGATTGACGTTTATAAAGTTGCCATGCGTAAACATGAAATCAGAGTATATTGAATGTCGCTATTTCATAAACTCATTTATTTTAATATCAATGGAATATTTTCCTTTCCATTTCAAACATTTTTTATAAGTAAATATCATTATTTTAATTTCATTTTGTGAGGTCTACATGGATTATTAACGCTAATTAACATTTTCACAAACTTGAATATGGCAATGTTGAACTGGTATTTGACATTTGTTGTTGAAGACGATTTGTCAATGTCAAGTGCGCCTTGCTGTTGGTTTCGAATGCGGTGTTATGATGTGTTTGTACAAATTGGAAGTCATTTTATTCATCTGGTGATACTTTGAGTTGGGCAGCCGTTCCTCCGTAGCCGAAATTGCGAAAATACACTTATTTTCATTTGTGCATAGTGTGTTGTATTTTGTCGCGATGACGAATTTACAGTGCATTAATTACAACCAGAGTTTGTCGCATGAGACGGCATGCTCTAGGAAATGAGAGTGAAGACTAGACGTGGTCAACAATATCCCATTGTGGACTTATCCTAGAGATGTAAGTAGGTACTTACCTATAATTACACATGACGTATCGAAAGTCACCTTGTTGCCTAAATAAAGGGGGCATAGTGTTATCTACCTATAATGTATCATTTTATTCTAGATCTCTCCTACCGACCATATTTGCCATGCTTGCTGGCAATTAGCAATGTATTGGGATGTTCCTGAAAGTATGTCCAGCAAACAAACTGATCATTGACATGTCTGTGTCGTATGTGGGCATTCCATTGCAAGGATAAGGTGACGCAGGGGTTTAATTGAAGGCGCCAACGAACAGGAGCAAAGACTAGCTCATATAGTATCTGATTGGATTCAGCCACGAAAGGTAATAATTTATTGTATTAACCATATACTATTATCATATAATTTAAAGTCAATATGACATTCTAATAATATTACTTTTTTTAGCTTACTTCCAATGATGAAGATCGTGTTCCATGCTGGCTGAGAGCCTTAACAAGAGTCGGATCTATAAGACCACAACCTGACATACCACCTCATAGTGTTCACTATCAGGATGTAATGTGTTATGTAAACATTTAAAAAAAAAAAAAAAAAAAAATTGCCCCACACTAGGATTTTCTCCTGTGTCGTGGGTGCGTTTACAAACATACAAGTTCACATACACAATGGACTAAGCCTCACTTTAACATTGCCGTTTGTAGAACAGATGAGGCCAGAAGATGTTGATCGGCTGTCAGAGCTTCAATAGGTATGTGAAGTGTATAACCGGTTTATAATAGGTTTATACACATGTTATAATTATAATAATTGATTAATTAGCATGCTGTTTGAGCTCCTATGATGTGTGTTATAGGAATACCCTATTAAACTGTCAAACACCAAGCGGTCACCGGTGACCGCAACCTATTGTTCTATAATTGTGTCTATAATGATGGTACTCGACGAGTTAAAGGCATTTTAACATTGTAAAATCAAATAATGTAATCAAATATTTATTTTTATCTTTTCTATTTTGAGATAGGGAATCAGAATTATAACATGTGAAACTAATGGAAAAAATGTTGTTTTGTTTACTTTATTTACAGTTATCTTACTTGTTTACAGATATCAGCAATTAATGAAGTGTGTGCTGTATGACACCGCCTGCTCTCTTTTTAGAAGAAGTACTCCTAGAAACAACCTAAATACAATGAAATAAAAGTATTTCAAAATAATACATTTGTTTTATTTTAAACAGGTACCTAGTAACTATATATAAACAATCTATAAAATAAATGCCATCTTTATTTTAGATTGCTTTAGTTTTATACCAAAAATGTTCATTTTCATTTTACATTTCTTTACTTGTGTTGTGGTGGCCAGGAGGTTTAAGAAGCCCGTTTCTCATGCATGAGAGTGCAAGTTGCAACGGCAAAGTACCAATGTGACTTTTTCGAGTTATGTATATATATTTTTTATTTATTATTTAATAATCTAAGAAAGTACAAAGACACCACTGACAAACGGTGAAGGAAAACATTGTGAGGAAACCTGGGCTTATAATTTCTAATTATAAGTTTGAAATCACCAACCCACATTAAGCTAGCGTACTGATTAAACTGTCAAACACAGAGCGGTCACCGATGACCACAACCTATTGTTCTTTAATTGTGTCTATAATTACGGTACTCAACGAGTTAATGCTTAAACCTAATCCAGTGAGAAGAGACCTTCGGTCGGCATGGGCCACTTATAGACTTAATGATGAAACTGATGATGATTTTACTTATTTGACTTACTTATTAGAAATTAAACCTTAAAACGCTTGCTAAGCAACCAGTTTTCAGAAGAAATACTTTCTCAAAGAGCTACGCTTAAGTTTAAATCGAATTAACTTAAAGACTATTTGTATATCAGGCCTCTGCCTCGAATCTTGATTTTACACATTAAATCTTGCATCTGCCCGCAAGATTCAAGGTGAAGTGAGACATTAGTTTTATCATATCCGCCAAAAGACGTCCACTGCTAAATGTAGGCCTTCTACCCAATGACAGTCGCTCACAATATTAATTTGCATTTTCGTAGGCACCTAGTAAATGAAAGAGATTGTAAAGCATACTCTGTAAAACTCTATAGTTACAGCATACTTGCTGAATTAACAGTTAATTAATTTACTCATAATACAAAGTGTAACAGTCACGAGTAGCGAGCAGTGTTTAGAGTTTAGTTTGTAAACAAAACAACCAAATAAAAAATAAGTCAACATTGACATTTTTCAATTATCTGTCATTTGTCATATTATGTACTTTTGCGTAAAGGTGGCATTATACTTGACATTGCGTATTTGTTGTGTACGGCCAAAACAGACCATGTGTGGAGGGTTTATTCGTCTTCATTTGCTATATACGTATATTTGCACGCTTTTACATTTATAGATACTATTTGGACGCCATTTGTACGTAGTTCACAAATATTTGTACAAATGAAGCGAATACGCAATGGCAAGTGTAATACCGCCTTTACGTACCTTCTGCACATTTTCAAAGTGAAATAACTTTTGAACCCGAAGTTCTAAAAATATGTAATTTTTTTCTAAACTTCATAATAAAAATATCTATCGTTCAGACCATTCACTTGGTTAAAACAATGACAATTACAAAATTTTATAGCGGTACCAAACCTCCATACAAACCTGCCATTCTCCTTTCACTAAAAATCCACCAAAGAGGTTTTCGTTCTCAAATGAAACGCCAAATAAATATAGCAATATTTTGTCTGTCGCATATAAACCTAAAAAAAAACAAATCCTAGCACGATCTAATTTTGAAACGAAGGCAAACAAAAATGGCGCGCTTTATTGCCTCCTAATAATACGATCAAATAGATAAAACTAGAGTAATATTATTGTTAGATTGAAAACTTTACACAAGCTTCCAACTTGTTGCTTCTAATAACGATCAATGGAATTAGTAAAACCCAATTTAGACTTAATATTAAAGATAGAATCAGACCGTAATCACAATCAGACGAAGTTGTGTTAGACGTGTTGCGTACAAGACTGATTTATTATCCATTTTAGCTCTCTGGTCTCTATAATTCCATTCGCCATTATAGATTCTATAAACACAGTCGTTTAGTGCACATAAATTAAAGTATTTTAATGTATAAATAGAGCCATTCTGTGATATGAGAACGTATACAAACTTGTACTATGTTTCAGTCGACACAACATTGGACAGAGGGGTTTAAAGGAGCTTAAGAAACAGAAATTCTGGTAGATTCTACCTCGACATCGAAAGAAGAATGATATTTGACGATATGGTATTAGATATTAGAAATACACTTAGTATAATACTAAGTTTAGGTTCATCTACCTACTTTATCATGGACCTCGAGCAGGCATTTGACAGACAAACCATTGGAAATAATGAACCTATAAATTAATAACAGAAATAATTCAGCTTTCTTATAAAAATAATGATCTTTGGCACTTTAAGAATACGTTCGTATTTTGTTCAAAACTTCACCTTGTTACTTCACAGAAATAAAAACAAAAAAATGTCGCAACAATGACAATATTGAACAAAAAATATGTTACAAAATATTTACGACTTTGTGACACTTTTTAAATGTAACCACTCATTTGTATTCCGTGTATATGGAGGTGGAGGCAATGCACTCAACTAGCCGAAACAGTCACGAATACTAACTAGGTACCAATAACATAGTGACATTAGGTAACAATAGATATAATTGCCACTTTTCCACACAACCCAAAAATATTTTTGCCAAAATTTTTGCAAGCAGACGTTGTGAAGTAACTCATTTAAGCTAAGTGTCTTTAATGGCTATTATGTTGCCGATATGACCCCATTACCCATCACACTGTGGGTCGTTTACTGTGTTTTAGTGTTGCTTCACAACTACTGGTGTTAGAGTGGCGATCTCTCGTCTAATTTGATGACTATTAGTCGTAAACACCTTAATGACATTTTTACGACCATTTACGCTAAACGGAGAAAAATACACATTCAAGGTCAGAAGTAAAGTATAGAAGATAGATGAAGGATGTGCAATAATAGCAGAGATTAGGTCACAATCAGACACTCAGTAAATCTTACGCGTTACAATCGCTTAGGAAGTTGCTCAATCGTTTCGTTCAGCGGGCTACAGTCGCTGCAGATGACCTCTGATAGCCCTTGATTTATTGTCCGCTCTAGGTTCTAATTCTGATTTCTTACTTATTGCTTAAACACGAAAAACACCCTTATAAGTAACATCTGAATACTTGAATTCCAATATAAGAACAACAAGGACACCGAATATAAAGGAACTGATTACACTAAAGTCATGTTGTGAGCCTGTCGAGGCCCTGTCGGAGTCCTACTCGTTGTACCTACGGAAACAAAACGAAGCTGTCTACGGCAGGCCTCCGGAGCCGACCCTTACTCAGGAGTCGCGAGGTCACGCCCTGCCCAACATGGCGGCGACGTCGCCTGCGGACTGCGAGTGCAGGAGAGCTCCTCGTGTGGGTCGTGGCGGTGCCAGTCGAGGTAATGCCAGCACTCCAGCTGGGGCCGTGCCCAGAGCACATCCCGTGACGAACTCGTGACGAGAGGCTTCCGTTGGAGTAATTCGCCGCTTTGGATCCCATCTGTAAAGAAAATAACAATTAGATTCCACATTACCTCTATTTAGTTGTTTAGATCCTCTGCTAATGAACAAAATTAAGAGTAGAATCAATTTCAAACAAGCATAAACAAATCAGAAAACTTAAATGAAGTCGGTTAATCAAGCTACTAAATAAATCCCATCTATTTGAAACGAACCCTTCACAGTTACGTAATATTACGTAAACGGATCACATGGCAGCCTATTAAATTCTATTACTCAACACACGTAACCGTTCAACGTTTACCATTCCGCAAAAAATCTAAGAAAATGTTCCATCATACCCATTTAAGGACATTTAACATTGCTTAACCAACCAGACGGCCTGCAAAAACTTCCGTCCACTTCCCATTGCCCAACCCTTTGGATACGAACGGAAAACCTGTCCTAAAAACGACATTTATTTAATATTAGGTTTATTTTTTAATATGGCAACCGTTTCTATTGCAAGTAGGTTTAATATCAATTTGTAGTAGAGGCGTAGAGGTGATATAATTGCTTTTTTTGTGGTGCGGTAACCATGTGTGGTTACTATCGTGTGTGTTCGTAACTTATTTATTGTAGACAAGACATGTTAAACTATAAAACAATTGAGGCAGAGTTTAATTTATATTTTCCCTAAACGATTTACTTAAGTAGTTTTGATCGGTCGTAAAATGAACAATATTCATTGTTGTAAGTCATAAGTCTAGTTTAATTTTATCAATCATGTCACTCCAGGGCTGTTCGTTTAATTAAATAAATAAAACTTTTTTAATTATTACTGTGAATTCCAAACTTTATATGCCAAAACGTTCCAATCTAAGCACAACTAACTAAAAAACATACGCAATACTGAAATACCGAATAACATCAACAAAATTCGAAACGTTAAAATTCAAAAAGGTACCTAGTGAAGTTTTTTTTCAAAATCAATAATATCTTTCAAAGAAGTTCCAAAACAATTGGAAACAATTCACATTATCATAATAAATAGTAATTTAAATATAGAAGATCCAACAGTCAAACTATTTACATATAGTTTTGTTGGACATGGCGTTAGATTGAAGTCATATGTACCTTCATTATTAATAAATAAATAATAATAAATAAATATTTTGTTTTTAAGTCAACTCTGATCCTTTCCAAGCTCTGTGTCCTGTGTGCCCAACTGGTGTCCACGCTACCTTCAATATATGTGGATCAAGGCGACAACTGTCACTTTTGCACCGACCGGGACCCGCTTAGCGACATGATATTAATAATTCAAGTAAACTACTTACCATAACGGACTGTAGTAAAGCTTTACTAATTTTGAAATATATTCTGTAAGTAAATCAAAACAGATTTGAAGGATTTCAAACAGGCTGAACTAAAGAAACAACGAAGGCTGATGGACCATTACCTACTATCATTATGAATTACCTGCGTCAGTTAACGTGAAGAGTGCATTAAGTCTTCAAAATACGGTGTAGGTATGCAATTACGCATACGATGGTTACCTACCTATTCCATTACATACCAGTTACATTTTTAGTTACGAAGGATATAAGTATAACAGCTTTTAATTCAATGATGTTATAAGTAAAACGACAATCGGCGATGCGTCACCGATTCATGGTAGATGTCCCACCAACACGCACGAAGAGCTTCGCTGGAAGCGACTTTGTGCGTACTGCTAAGGAGTGGAATTCTTTGCCAGAGTCTGTATTTCCTGAAGGGTATAACTTAGGTGTCTTCAAGCCCCTAGTGAATAGGTTGCTTATGGGTCGACGTGCTTCATCGTAGGTCACATTACCGCTTACTACTAGGCAAGATAGTGGTCAAATGTCAGTCCCACCTAATATAAAAAAGCTTTTCGCATGCTACCAGCTACAATTTACCCCATACCTTGCAAATCCCTCTCATTTTCTCCTTAAACTTTTTTTTTTTTTTAAACGTTGCCCCACACTAAGATTTTCTCCTGTGTCGTGGGTGCGTTTACAAACATACAATATCACATACACATCACACCCAGACCCGAAACAACAATTTGTGGATCACACAAAGTGTTGTTCCGTGCGGGAATCGAACCCGCGACACGTTGCACGGCAGCCGATTGCCCAGCCACCGCACCAACCGTGCAGTCATACTGTCAAACACCAAGCGGTCACCGGTGACTGCTGTTGGCGTTTGACAGTTTAAACTTGTTAATTTCCATTACATTAACATTTCCTGCAAACTCTCCAATGTCCGTAAGATGCGTCACGCACTTCCTGGTACTACTGGTCGTACAAAGGGTGTCGCAATCGAGAGTGCGTGACAAACGCCGACGCGGCGCGAATACTGACGGCCATCTTAATTACCTCTCACGCGTCTCGTGTCATAGGAAGACCTGTGTTATATCATCTGTCTACTGGCTATCTACTGGTTACTAGTTATTTTATTGCATGGGTGTCAACGGCCTGAGTTTGAGAGTACTGGTGCTTGCAGGGTGGAGAGTTGAAGAAGTTGAGGTACTGCTAAAGTTGCTTAGGAATTAGATGCTTTAAATGTTTAGTGGGACAATTGCCATTGTTGTTAATACAAATATATATTTAGTATTTTTGCTAGTTAAGTAGGTAGAGCATTGGCTTATGCAATAGGGTATACAGTTAAGTAATATGTTGTTTTTAACACAAATATGTCGTGTAGGTACCTATATTACTTTTTTTAAAAGGGGGGAAAATCATCGCATGAGTTCTCTCGCCTGGGTGAGGCGGGAGGGAGTGTCAGACTCTTACTGACTAAAACCGCCCCGTTCCTACTCTTGCCCTTCGAGTCGGAGACCCGGCAACTCGTTAAGTCCTCCGCGGTTCCGTATCGGTATCAGTCCTATTGGGTCCCATCCGTGGTGGCCTGAACTCTTTGAGGCGCGCGCGGAACGCGACGCGCCGTAAGCTCGGGTACTTATATACGTACTGGCTCCTGGTTTACTGTCATCTAATTTTTGACAAAATCTAATCCGTGTTTCCTAGGCAGGCTTCCGAGCGTGACGCGGCCGTGGAGAAGGTCTATAAAACAAAATAACGAGTTGAAAAGAACGTATCTTATGCATCCCTTCAGATAGAATAACACATGAACCATATATTTATATTATATACCAAGGAGAATCTAGTATGACCTCACGTTTAGAATATCACCTAATCTGTAAGGAATGCGGATCAACAGCAGTGTGTGCAAGGAGATGGCACGCACTGTCGCTTTGAGTTACATAACTGGTATAATGGCAGACGACTAACCATACATACCAGTCAACAGACTGGTAACATCATATTGATGACATACTCAATAAGCCTATCTAGTAATACTAAGTAGATAATAAAATATAAAAGTTCATGTGGTGGAAAGTCCTGCATCCCGCACGGAACATTATTTTTGTGACACTCGATTGGTGTTTAACATCACGCCTCCTATCCCCAAAGCGGTAGGCAGAGGTGCACATTACGACACTTATTGCCACTGTACATTGCAACACTCAGGTTTCAGTATTTATGTTAAAACTCCCATGGGATGCGGGGTGAGCTTATTGCCATTTACCGGACACAATTTCAGACTCCGTGCTACTACTGAGTTTTTTTTACAACCCAGTATTACTTTGCCCGACCCAGGATTAAAACCCGTGACCTCTTGACCAGCAGTCGCATTTTCGACCACTCGGCCAACGAGGCAGTCATTGGTGATTGGGGTGTGACTGAAATCATGTCTTTATAAACGACCACGCCACGGGCCATGATACAGAAGAATATATTAATACTGAGCAACGTTTTAAAAAATAATGCAGCATGCATTGCTTATTGATAAATACTAAATAATAATTATACCAGACACAGCATAATAAAAAAACAGAAAAAAGCGTGGATATGTTTAAAAAAAAATCAATCCACATTATTTATTGTAAATCACCTTATTTAAATGTTAGCTCTTAAGAAACCTATAGCGACTAATTACTGATTACGAAAGTTACCAACTTTAGGACATTTTGATCGCCCGCTGAGCTGTTTTACGTAATGCCGTCTGCAAAGCAACAGCTAAACTAAATTAGTAAATACATCGCAGATACTATAATAAAATGAATCAGTATTTTTGGTCTGGTGAGTCAAAGAAGTGTCTCATTCTAGAAGAATTCAGGTCAAGTCTGCTGGAGAAGGAACTCTCTTTGAAGAGGGAGTTTGCCATAGTACCGACTACTGATACTTGTCCGGTGGTTTGTGCTTTGCAGTTATGTGTATGGTTGGTTGGTGGCACTTTTAGAACATAATGTCACTTATTATATCTAATTATTTTCGAAAAGTACAATACACTAACACAAACAATATAATAGGGATGATGACAGGGTATGTAAATTAAAAATCAATCAGTAATTAATGAAAAAATATTAGACACGTATTTTTTTTTATTTTGTCGTATAAGAAAACAATACTTAGATAAAACGAATTAAAGTTTAGGAGTGGGAGCTACGATATTTTAGAGTATAAATCGTACTCAAAAGTGATATTACAAATCAACATATCTTCGAAACTATTCGTTTTCATAAGAAATTAAAAATACGTGTCTAATGTTTTTAAAAAATCTACCAGACGGACATTAAAATTTTAAAATAAAACATAGTCATCTACCCTATTACTTGGGTGTAGATTATCCTACATCTCTTTTTTATCCTATGGTAATTAACAGGAATGATACTTTTCTATCCTGCAACACCTGCAGCTATGCTAATTTATGTTGCTGTCAGTTCGCAACTACCTTTACTTATGTATTGACTCATAATATATTTCTCCGGCCATTTCTTAATCCCTTTCAAATAGTTCAATGGACTGGAATTTGAACGTAACCGTTCTGTGTAGTAAGCGGACCGGCCGTAATAATTCATCCTACCATTTAAGTATGGCAACCCACGTACAATATGGCGGCTACGAACTGTCAGTGTGACCATATAAAAGAGAATAGACCTTGTTTTGAATAGAGAAAAGTCTTTTGTCTCGT